CCCCCCTTCTCCAAAAGGCAGGTCATTTTGGATAAAGCCGTCTGCTCAATAAATAAAATGTAAATGGGGAAAGGAGGCAGAAAGGCAGTAGGATCCTTCTTGCAACCATTATGATATATCTATCGCCACATTTTCCCATTAAATGTGTGACAAATGGAGCACGTCTTCAACACCCACCCCCGCCCTCACCTGTCTGAATAATTTCCAATGGTGAAACAGCCCCCCCCCCCACTCCCGCAACACACTCCCGCAGGTCCTGAGGGGGCGGCGTTTATTGACACACTCGGAATTCTGCTTCAGACATCACTATTTGTTCAGGGCAGCCATTTACTCCATACCCAGCCACAGGCATGGATATACATGGCAAGAACAAGCATGCTGAATTCCGGGTGAAATAAAAATCACGTCCTTTCAGCTCTGTCGGACCTGATCCATTTAGGAGCACTGGTTTAAGGAACTACAGATCCCGAGACTCCCTGATAGCTTTCATTTTGATTTTCACCCCCCAGTTGGGATATGTAGTAGGGGGCGGGGCCATTGGCCCCAGCAGAAATCTGATTCGCCCCTGGAGTTCCCCTTCCCAGGTCACTCAATGATTCAAAACATATCACTGGCTAATAAGTTTGGCTGCCTGTATGAATTATGGCCCCTCATGTCCCTCACCTAAAAACCACACACACACACACACACACACACACACACACACATCCCTGGTTTACAGCTGTATTACAAAACAGTATGACAATGTGCAGCATACAGTGAACAGACAACATGGCTAATTTGACTGGTGCAGAACTCCGCATTTAGCTACAGCTATGGGGAGCACGGATGGCGTCTTCTAGAAGCGACGCTCGCTGGCTCTGCGGTCGAGCGCGATCGCAGCGACGGGCCGAGACAAAGGCGCTGGTGCATAAAGAGCGAGTGGGATAATTACAGCGCCAGGAGGGGATTATGGGAAATATGCCGGCTTCTTGACTCGTTTCATATATCAGCGGGCGAGCTGGTAGGACAGCCCGCGATCAGGGGCTATATTTATGAAATCCAGCAATAACAGCCCCTTGCCACACAAACACACACACACACACAAGACCATCAAAGCGAACTTCACGTACAGCCCCACCACGACTACGACAGTCATACACCAAATGGTAGTAAGCGGGTACACTACACAGCACAGATGCACATGGGGACACGTAGGAAACAGACAGTCATGTTCCGAGCGCAGCGGGCATCCTCACCTATGGCCAATCGCTCCAGCCGTTTGCCGTGCTCTGGGGGGATGGCGTACCTATGGGGGAGAACACAGAGACAGCATCACAACAAATGCAGGACATTTCCCATAAACGTCCGGAGGACAGCAGGCCACGCTCAACCCCGCAGGCCTGCCACGGCTCATAAACAGGACATCACTGGGTCCGCTTTCACCTTCACCGCTCGCTTTCATGTAAACAAGGATTCCACACCAATACCATAGCTAGTATGCCGAGTGGCTGGCAGTAGGGCCGCTGATAACCACCGGGTGGCGCTCTCAGCCCCAGCCTCTCCAAGATATCAGGACGCTTGACTTTCTTTGGGTCCCATTATTCACCTAGACCTGCATTCTTAGGGGGGGGGGATTTACACGGCGGTGGAGGCTGTTTGCAGGGCCTGCCTC